TCCTGGATAGAACTGGAATCTATTCTACTAAGTAAAGTATCCCAAGAATGGAAAAGTAAGCACCACATGTACTCACCATCAAATTGGTTTTCACTGATCAACACATAAGTGTACATATAGGAATAACATTCATCGGGCATCAGGCAGATGGGAGGGAGGAGGGGATGGGTATATACACACATAATGAATGTGTGTGTACCGTCTGGGGGGTGGACACACTTGAGGTTCTGACTGGGGGTGGGGAGGAAGGACAATATACGTAACCTAAACATTTGTGCCCCCATAACATACTGAAAAAAAAGACTAAAAATAAAAAAAAAAAAATAGAAAAGGTGCCCTATCAGAGCAACATGAATTCTGCTAAAATTGAAGCAAGAACAAACATCAAATTTATGGTGAAGCTTGGGAGGAAAAATGGTAAAATTATTGATACTTTACAAAAAGTTTATGGGGACAATGCCTGAAAGAAATCAACAGTTTACAGATGGATAACTCATTTTAGGAAGGAATGAGATGATGTTGAAGATGAAGCCTGCAGTGGCAGATCATCTATATCAATGTGTAATCATCTTGCTCATGCCCTAATTGAAGAGAACTGATGATTAACAGCAGAAATAATAGCCAACACCATAGACAACTCAATTGGTGCGGCTTACACAATTCTGACTGAAAAATTAAAGTTGACTTGATGGGTGCCGAAACTATTGTGCCCAGATTAGCTGCAGACAAGAGCAGAGCTTTCAATGGAAACTTTAAACAAGTGGGATCAAGGTCCTGAAGGATTTCTTTGAAGAATTTGAACAGGTGATGAAATATGGCTTTACCAGTATGATCCTGAAGACAAAGTACAATAAAAGCAATGGCTACCAAGAGGTCAAAGTCGTCCAGTCAAAGCAAAAGTGGACTGGTTAAGAGCAAAGGTCATGGCAACAGTTTTTCGGGATGCTCAAGGAATTTTGCTTGTTGGCTTTCTGGAGTGCCAATGAACAATAACATCTGCTTATCATGAGAGTGTTTTGGAAAGTTAGCCAAAGCTTTAGCAGAAAAATGTCCCGGAGAGCTTCACCAGAGAGTCCTTTTCCACCAGGCTCCTGCTCATCCAACAAGGGCAATTTTGCAAGAGTTTCAATGGGAAATCATTAGGCATCCACCTTACAGTCCTGATTTGCCTCCTTTTGAATTCTTTTTGTTTCGTAATCTTAAAAAATCTTTAAAGGGCATTTGTTTTTCTTTGGTTCGTAATGTAAAAATGACTGCATTGACATGGTTACATTCCCAGGACGCTCAGTTCTTTAGGGATGGACTAAACGGCTAGTATCATTATTTACAAAAGTGTCTTGAACTTGATGGAGCTTATGTTGAGAAAGAATAAAGTTCATATCTTTTATTTTTATCTTTCAATTTCATTTTTTTCATGAACTTATGGACATCCGTGTGTGTGTGTGTGTGTGTGTGTGTGTGTGTGTGTGTGTGCTCTTTGTGGCAGTGAGAAGTCAGAGCAGCGCAGTTGGATGAAGGAAATATGGTGGATGCATGCTATGAGATGCTGTGTAGCGGGGGACCAGATGAAAATTCCCAGGACTGAGTGAAAACAGTAGGAAACAGCATGAGGCTTGTATGCAATGTTACTCGTATAAATTAAAGACATATACATACCAAAAAAATCTGTAGATTTTGAAGGCACATGTATATTTAAAGACATATTTCAAATACATTACTGTGAGGCCCATGGGGAGAGGAAGGCAGTAGAGGTGGCATCCAGGGATGACAGGAGGAAAAAACATACAATGAGAGAAAGGCCGTGTACAAACTGATGAAAATAAGGATCTGTGAACTGGAGGACTGATTAACTTAACGTTGCTCCTAAGGGTTGAATAAAAACAAAATGTGACCAAATAACACTAATTTAAGAATTTTGTGGAGTTTAGATAGTGGAGTTAATATAGAAACTAAACATTGTATTCTAGAAAATACTTTTATGAGGTATAGTAGCTTACGTAAGAGTGAACCCTAGTTAAAAATTTTGAGGAAAAAATATTAAACAAAAAATCCGTGATTTTTTTTACACTCAACTTCTTTTGCTCAGAGTCTTTATAGTGAAGATCCTAAAAAGACTCTTCTTTCTCTCCTTCCTTCTTTTTCTTCTTTTCCTTGCTCCCTCCCTCCTTTCTTTCTTTTCTTGCTTTCCCTCCTTCCAGCAAATGAATAAGAGCATGGTTTTGGAACCAGGTAGATTTTATATTTAAATATTGGCTCTGCCACATATTAGCAGTGTTATTTATAGCAAGTTAATGAATATCTCTGGTTTTCGATTTAT